CGCTGCCTGCAGCTCCCTAAGCGCCGCGGGTGGCGTGTCGGGCGCAAGCCCCCTGCTGCGGGCAGCGAGAGGCGCGTGTCCCGCCAAAACCGCCTCACTGTCCGCTGCCCCCGGCAGCACTGGGGGGGGGTCCGACACGGTTAATTACAATCGCTCATTAAAACGTGGCGGGCGGGCTCCATGGCGGTGCCAGCCAGGCACTAAAGAACTTCAGCCCCCTCCAGCTAATTGGCAGGAAGTTTAAGGCGGCTCTTAATTTGAAAGATGGGAAAAGCCCTTCTCTGCTTATTTAAACAAGTGATAGAGATGTGGCCGTGTTAGTCTGGTGCAGCTGAAACAAAAAACAGGACAATGTAGCACTTTAAAGACTAACAAGAGGGTTTATTAGGTGATGAGCTTTCGTGGGCCAGACCCACTTCCTCAGATCAAATAGTGGAAGAAAATAGTCACAACCATATATACCAAAGGGTACAATTAAAAAAATGAACAAATATGAAAAGGACAAATCACATTTCAGAACAGAAGAGGGATGGAGGGGGAGGTAAATGTCTGTGAGCTAATGATATTAGAGGTGATAATTGGGGAAGCTATCTTTGTAATGGGTAAGATAATTAGCGAAGCCAAGCCCTTAGATACAACCGCATCTGCTCTAATTCCACTGACAGAGACCAGAAGCTTCAGGATCTCTACCAAGCATTTATAAACCTCAACTACCCACCCAGAGAAATAAAAGAGCAAATTGAAAGAGCCAGACAAATACCCAGAAACCAACTACTTCAAGACAGACCCAAGAAAACCTACAATAGAACACCACTTGTCATCACCTAGCGCCCCCAACTTAAACCTGTCCAACACATTATCAATAAACTACAGCCTATACTGGAACAGGATACTAAACTCCGAGAGACTCTGGGAGACAGACCCATAGTCTCCTATAGACAACCACCTAACCTCAAGATGATTCTTACCAACAACCACAGGACATACCACACTAATACCAACCCTGGTACCTTCCCTTGCAAGAAACCCCGTTGCCAGCTTTGTCCACATATTCACTCTGCTGATACCGTTATTGGACCTAACCAAGTGAGTTATCAGATCAAGAACACATATTCCTGCGCATCCAGAAATATAATTTATGCTATCATGTGCCGAAAGTGTCCATCTGCTATGGACATTGGGCAAACGTCTCAGACACTTTGCCAAAGGATCAATGCCCACAAAACAGATATCAGACAGGATCACAAAGAAAAAATAGTTTCTTGCCATTTCAACCAGAAAGGACATTGTCTCAACGACTTGATTACCTGCATTCTGCTTCAAAGACCTTTTAAGACTTCACTTGAAAGAGAATCCTCTGAACTGTCATTCATGCTTAAATTCGACACTTTACACTCAAGTTTGAATAAAGACGCTAATTATCTTCCACTATTTGATCTGAGGAAGTGGGTCTGGCCCACGAAAGCTCATCACCTATTAAACCATCCTGTTAGTCTTTAAAGTGCTACATAGTCCTGTTTTTTATTTAAACAAGGTGCTTGCAACTCATTCAAGAACCCTCAGTGGGGTAGTTATTTCAGGGGGAATTGCTCGGCTAATCCACTTATTCCTGATGGAGAAGCAAAAGAAAATGGCTCCCCACTTCCTTCCCCCAATACAGAGTTGCCAGGTGTACGGTTCTGAACTGGACAGTCTGGTATTTGAGGTTTCTGTCCAGGAAACAAATCTGTACATAGTTGCGTACTGCCTGGCTGGTGGACATGCTCATACTGCATGTGTGCATCTACCAGCCAGGAAGTACGCAACTATGCAGTAGAGAGGAGGGGGGTCAGGGCAGGATGGAACCCAGGGTCAGACTTGCTCATGCGCCCCGCCAGGACTGTGTGTGGGATGGGCAGTACCCCGGAATCTGTGTGCGCCTGGGCCAGCCACATAGTTGCGTACTGCCTGGCTGGTGGACATGCTCATACTGCATGTGTGCATCTACCAGCCAGGAAGTACGCAACTATGCAGTAGAGAGGAGGGGGGTCAGGGCAGGATGGAACCCAGGGTCAGACTTGCTCATGCGCCCCGCCAGGACTGTGTGTGGGATGGGCAGTACCCCGGAATCTGTGTGCGCCTGGGCCAGCCCCACTCTCCATCTCCCCCTGCCAGCCCCGCTCCTCTCCCAGCTGGTCCCCCTCAATCTGAGATCAAGTGTGTCTGGTATTTTTTTTAAACCATCTGGTAACCCTACCCAAATACCTCCCTTCCCATGTTCAGTTACTTCCCGTGCACCAGTATTGCCAGCTTCCAGGGTTTACAAATCAGGAGACAAACTGGCCCCAAAATCAAGAGACTAGACTGGAATCAAGAGATTTTTAAGACTAATTCTGCATTTTTGTGGTTTATTTTATTGCTTTTGGTTTTGATCCTTTAAGATTTGGATTGCAAACCTTTTTGTTGCCACTATTTGGGCTGGAAAATTATTTTTTAGAAAATAAGAACATAAGAACGCCGTACTGGATCAGACCAAAGGTCCATCTAGCCCAGTATCCTGTCTGCCGACAGTGGCCAACACCAGGTGCCCCAGAGAGGTTGGACCGAAGACAACGATCAAGCGATTTGTTTCCTGCCATCCCTCTCCAGCCTCTGACAAACAAAGGTCAAGGATACCATTTTATCCCCTAGCTAATAGCCTTTTATGGACCTAACCTCCATGAAATTATCTAGCTTCTTTTTAAATTCTATTATAGTCCTAGCCTTCACAGCCTCCTCTGGCAAGGAGTTCCACAGGTTGACTACACGCTGTGTGAAGAAGAACTTTCTTTTATTAGTTTTAAACCTGCTACCCATTAATTTCATTTGGTGTCCTCTAGTTCTTCTATTTAGGGAACTAATAAATAACTTTTCTTTATCGGCCCTCTCCACACCACTCATGATTTTATAGACCTCTATCATATCCCCCCTCAGTCTCCTCTTTTCTAAACTGAAAAGTCCCAGTCGCTTTAACCTCTCCTCATATGGGACCCGTTCCAAACCCCTAATCATTTTAGTTGCCCTTTTCTGAACCCTTTCCAAGGCCAAAATATCTTTTTTGAGGTGAGGAGACCACATCTGTACACAGTATTCAAGATGTGGGCGTACCATAGTTTTATACAGGGGCAGTAAGATATTCTGGGTCTTATTTTCTATCCCTTTCCTAATAATTCCTAGCATCCTATTTGCCTTTTTGACCGCCACTGCACACTGCCAAATTAGCCCCCATCATACTGTACATATAGTTGGGGTTATTTTTCCTGATGTGCATTACTTTACACTTATCCACATTAAATTTCATTTGCCATTTTGATGCCCAATCACTCAGTTTGGTGATATCTTCTTGGAGTCCCTCACAGTTTGCTTCTGTCTTGGCTATCCTAAACAGTTTGGTATCATCTGCAAACTTTACCACCTCACTGCTTACCCCTTTCTCCAGATCATTTATGAATAAGATGAACAGGATTGGTCCTAGAACTGACCCTTGGGATACACCACTAGTTTACCCCCCTCCATTCTGAAAATTTACCATTTATTCCTACCCTTTGTTTCCTGTCTTTTAACCAGATCTCAATCCATGAAAGGACCTCTTATCCCATGGCCATGTAATTTACACAAGAGCCTTTGGTAATGAAATGAAAGCTAAGCTCAGTCACATGACTCCAGGAACTGGGGATTTAAGAAGAGCAGACTTGAACAAGCTTGTAAGAAAAATGAAACCTGCAAGAGATTGACAGATAGTTCCCTAAGGACACGTGTACCTGCACAGAACTCTGTGCATCATACATAGGTCCTTAGTACTGGATCTGACTGTGGGATTGAGGCTTGTATTTTTCTGTGGCTAGTTATGTTATCTGCTAAATATATTATATCATGCTCTTCATCTCAGTCTGAAGCCCCGAAGAAGAACTCTGGAGTGTTAAGGTTTCTTCTTTCCTCCAACAGAAATTGGTCCAAGAAAAGATATTATATCACCTACTTTGTCTGATTTTCAGATAAGAGTCATTGGTGAAAAGGACAATGCTAGACCAATGATTTTTTTAGGCCACTGAAACCATTTATACTTTTTTGTGATATCTATACCTGCTTATATATAAGATATTAAACCCTCTCTTAAAGGGGCCAATAGTATGCAAGAGCATGAGAAGAATGGGTCGGTACAGCATGTCATCTGATTAAATGCATGGGTGCAATGAATGGAATGTTTCAGTAGGTAGGTGTGTAAGTGACCTTGATTGGTATGCGGGAGACCTGGGTTTGATTTCTGGTCTGTCTCTCTTGTTTATTGATTCAACAGAAGCTTTGAGGACTTTTACTTTACAATATTTTCAACCTCAAGTGTTCAAAAGTAATGAATCAGGACCATCCAAAATGAGATTGAAATATACATTTGGGGTTCCTTCAGTTTGCTCTGTACTTTTGAATTGTAGCATACATGAAGCATTTTCTCCACATTCAATAAGATTAGAAAGTTACTTTCAAATTTTTAAAAAAGAAAGGAGATTTGAACACAATCATAGGACTTCCGGAGCAGATCTTCAAAAGTAAACATTGAACAATGTGAGACTCTAGTAAAATCAGGGTAGCAATATAGTTACATTTTAAGATAAATCCTCAAAAGACAATGACTTTAATCTGACCTGTTGCTCCCAGAAAGAGACAGGCCTTTTTTGTTGGATGGTTGGTTATACTTTGTGAATGGGAAATTTGCCTTGTTTGGCTATAGGTTAATTTTAGCTTTGGGTGGAGAGCTTCCATTGTGATCCAGACATTTCCAGCACTCAGCAATTCCAA